CATCCCTTTTTTTTCTATGCATCTAATTACGCCGTCTCTTTTTTCATTTCCTTCAACCGTGTAGTTAGTGACGTCCAGATTGAAATTAATACTCCTATCGATTATGTTATTTTAATGAGTAATTAGACTATTTACTTTTCTACTGGCAAGCAATCAACACTTATATTACTTCATCAAATAACCCATTTATTATCATTTCGACAAGTAACATAACAAGTTTTACTGCAAGGTTTAACTGCCTCCGTGGCCGAACGGTTACCATGCCGGACTGACACGCAGAGGTCCCAGGTTCGATTCCCGGGCCGGGAGAAATATTTGTATGGCCTACATTTATTTCTCTCGTGAGTTTGGGTGTAATTTGTGGTTGTCTATGTGTGTGTCCATGGCACCCGCGACACAGGGTTTCCCTAGTGCGGGGCTATGTTGATTGTGAGCGTTAAAAAAAAAAGTTTTGTTCACTTTAAGATGCTCTTTTATTTAGTACAGTCAAGAATACGTCAAGCTAGAAACTTTGTACTTTGGAGCGTTCTTTCGTAAGCGGCATAGAGTTGGATTTAAATCTCATGTGTCAAGCTTGAAGTGCTCTTGACCCTGTACATTGTCAGTTTGGTACTACTACTATGAAGTCAATATTATCCATTGTCTTTTTTCTAATCTAGATAATTATGTTCGTACCAGTATAAATACAACACAACAATAAGACTGAAAGTAAGAAGAAAGCTAATTAAGAACAATGTTTTATACCAACAAGTTTGTCAAGTTAGTCGGTATACAACATTAGGTTCTTATTAATTTAATGTATCAATAAATTATGTTGCGAGTAGATAATGCCACTATATCTTTATTATATTATAATCTTTAAGGAAATAATTCAAAATATAATCTATTTTTACAATTAATTCCATTTTATCGATAAACTTAATATAAAATTTACACTGTCCCATCCCTATGACTTTGATTGCGCCAATCAGAACGTAGCACCCCGCTTCACCGTATCTCAAGTAGTTGACAGAATCAATTCCGTTCAAAAAATGAAATATTAGGCGTATAGCGGCTGTACCGTCGATGTTTAAACGGTACACTCTCAAACACAGTCTTTATAAGATAAACTCGTGCGACATTGTAGTTCCTTCTAACTGGTTGATGACTTTATCAACTCAGGCAGCCGTGTTGTGGCATTGTGGCTAGAAATGTTGGTTTGTTTCCAAAAAGAAATATACGCGATTTTTAATCGAAAAAGTACTTATTTTGTTAACATGTAGTTTACATAAGTGATTGTATCCACTCCAAGTGGGCCGTAACTCTTACAAAGACAGTCGGTGCACCGTCTTCGCATCTACCAGGAGAAAATGATGTGACGCCGATCTGAAAATATTGAATCGATCTAAGTGAAAGCTTTTACACTTCAAAACGTAATTTTTAAGCTACTGCTCGTTCACTACGCTGACCTCCCTGAGAAGAACGAGCAAGAAACTCTAGGAATTGCTCTTTTCACATAAACTTAAATGCTATGGAATACACTTTGAATCATATTTGTGTGGAATCTAGAATCACGTAGTCATTTCATGCATCTTTGTCTAACATCTAGTCCATAATTTTGTAATATGACTTTTCAAGCAAAATTTAAACTTAGGAAATGATAAACTTAATATATGCTCCGGAGTCTTATTGTAAAAACGTATACAGTATGGGGATAAAAGAATCGTTTACCTTAGTTAAACGAAATCGAATGACTTTGGACTTAGTGAGAACTTTGTCGGGTGTTTCCTGGTTTATATTTTTATGTGTTTACACATCCGCGGCTAAGTGACAAATGGTCAAACATCCGTTTTAAATAGCAAAGATAGAGCACAAAATTCTCTTTTAAAAACGATTAAAATCAGTTAAAGTCTTCACCAAATAAGAGGCCAAATTGGACAGCTAATGAAGGCGATAGCATGTAACTTTGAACGTGATCAACGAAACAATAAACAAATAATTATTAGCATAATTGAGTTAAAAAATATATATAAATTTTATTGAAACATTACGTAATATGACAAAACATAATATTTGAAGTATTGTTTTGGCCTAAATTCCAAAATAAAATGCAATTTTGAGTTATTACAAAACGTCCTGAAAACAGTTACGTCCTCAAGATATTTTAAAAAAATAATAGTGTTGTAAGCAATTCATCGCCGAATTTCACCGAATCACCTCGATTTCTCGGAAAAAATATTAAAAAAATATATATGAACATTATTTGAGATTATTTGTTGTTCACAATACGAATACCAATACGAACTCACTTAAAACAGCCTACAATAATGCCACCAGGTCTTGCAAAAGAGCGTACATCAAAGCGGATGCTCAGCGCGTCGCACGAGTTGGCCAAGAACTCCTGACGCATCCCACTGGTAGTCGTAGCTACTGGCGTCTGGCCAGAGCCGTTGCGTCGAACTTCTGCCAGCCCTCGCTGCCCCCGCTGAGATATTCTGACGGCAATCTAGCCCACAAGCCGCAAGATAAAGCCGACCTCTTGGCAAATCTGTTTGCGGCTAACTCCAGTCTCGACGACTGTAACGCACAGCCACCAACTCTACCTCACTGTGTCTACACGATGTCTGATATTCGTATCAGACAATGCGATGTGCGTACGCAGCTGCAGTCTCTCGACGTCCGGAAAGCTAGTGGTCCTGATGGTATCCCAGCGATTGTACTTAGGAACTGCGCAGCTGAGTTGACCCCCGTGCTAACGCGACTGTATCGTCTGTCACTCTCTTCAGGTCGTGTGCCGGACTCTTGGAGAGAGGCTAATGTGCAACCAGTTCCCAAAAAAGGCGACCGATCAGACCCGCATAATTACCGTCCCATAGCCATTACTTCCATAATATGCAAGGTTTTAGAGCGGATCCTTAACAAACGACTGACCCAATACCTAGAAGATCACTCCATGATTAATGATCGGCAGTATGGGTTTCGTCCGAAACGATCAACGGGTGACCTTCTAGCGTACTTATCGCATATTTGGGGTGAGGCTATAGACAAACGTGGCGAGTCGTTGGCTGTTAGCCTCGATATAGCCAAAGCGTTTGATCGGGTCTGGCACAAAGCTCTTCTCTCCAAGCTTCCGGCGTACGGTTTGCCAGCCCAGTTATGCAGCTGGATTGCCGATTTCCTTCGTGAGCGGAGAATTCGCGTCGTTTCTGACGGCAGCATTTCGAGGTTCGTGAATGTGAACGCCGGCGTACCGCAGGGATCCGTCCTATCTCCCACGCTTTTCCTTCTGCATATCAATGATATGCTTCCACTTGGGAATATTCATTGTTATGCAGATGATAGCACTGTTCATGGGGGATATCACGGATTCCCCGCAGCTGGGCGCGCCGATACTGACAGAGAGCGATCTGATCTTGTCGTTGAGCTCAATAGGATATTGGACCTCATCTCTGCATGGGGATCTAGAAATCTTGTTGAGTTCAACGCCAAGAAAACACAGGTTTGCGCGTTAACAACAAAATTGTCGCCGTTCCTTCCCATGCCTTCTCTGATGAGCACAGCACTTTCACCTCAGAGCAGTTTTACCTTGCTCGGTATGGAAATCTGCTGTGATTTGAATCCAAGGAGCTACATCGAATCTGTGATCAAAACAGCCTCACGGAAACTCGGAGTCCTGAACAAGGTGCGACGTTTTTTCACGCCGGACCAGTTATGCCTGTTGTACAAAACACAGGTCCGGTCTTGCGTTGAGTATTGTTCGCACTTGTGGGACGGCTCTGCCAAGTACCTACGCGATGCCTTGGATAAATTACAGCGTCGTGCTACTCGAATTATAGGCGACGAAGAGGTCTCATCACGCCTTGAACCTCTGCAATTTCGTAGAGATGTTGCATCGCTTAGCGCCTTTTACCGCATGTACCATGGTGAGTGCTCTGAAGAGCTGTTCAACCTCATCCCCCCTTCCCCGTTCCTGCTCAGAAGCACGCGTGCTGGCCTTCGTAGTCACCGTTTCACTACCTGCCGCATTCCATCGCGTACTAAAAGGTTCGGTGGCTCCTTTCTCTGCCGCACGGTTGACAAATGGAACTCCCTTCCGGCACATGTCTTCCCTCCCTCTTATGATATGGGGCCCTTCAAACGCACACATTCAACATAACGCACACATTCAACATAGGCACACATTCAAACGAGGCGTGAAGAGGCATATTGTAGGCAGGCAGGGTGGAGGTGGCTAGTGCAGTGAGGATTTCATCGCTGCACTAGGTTCCTCCGCGTTTGGATACCACTTTCCACTTAACATCAGGTGGAGTGGAGTCATTTGCCTGTCATGTATATAAAAAAAAAAAAAAAAAAAACATTGACAAATTCGAATTTATTGCCAGCTGAATAATTGAAAATTTATGAAATTCTTGGTTTCTTGGTAATTTAATGTTTTTATGTAGTTGTTTCATCGACGAGCACCAAATTCTCGTAATAAACCATTTATGAATATTATAAAATCAAAATTAAAAGAATTGGATACAATCATAGCAACAACAATGAACCGAAAAATAATCTAAACAAGCACAAACTCTTAAAATTCGAATCTAATTCTCGTGAATATCGTAAAATGCGATTTTAACCGATATGACTAGTCCACACCCCTATTCGCGTCACGATGACAAGTGTCAAATTTGTCCTCTTATTTGGTGACGACTACAACGAGTTCGACTTATCGGAACTTACCCTAACGATGCTTACACTTGAAATATCATTAAACAAGTTCAATGTTCTAAAACTGGGTCATGGCTTTTTATGAGATCTTAAAAAAATATTTTGTCACTTAGCAGCATTGACTTACAAATAAATGGACGACGGGTCTAATACAAAAACCACCAAGAAAATGTCCCAAGTCAACCTATTCGAAATTTAAATTGTAATGTCATCGCAGTATCGCGCTGTCAGTAGAACAAATGAAGACTAAAGCGGAGTTTGGCGCTCTGTATACGATTTTAGCGCCTTACAAGTGCGGACACTTTTTAGCGCGGACCCGACGTCCATATAATTGTAAGTCAATGCTTAGCAGCGTTTTTGTTGTGTAATCCATTTTAGACTAACATGAGAAGCAAATTTGCAGACAAGGGTAACGTCCGGACAGGCTACGGTAATTGGAGAACATGGGTTTTAGATAAAAGTACAAACTACACCAAAAATATTTGTTGTTCTGTTTAATGTTATACAAAGGCAGGAAAGGCCCGCACATGAAGAAAATTTGCTGTCTTTTCTGTCCGATTAGAGCATTTTTGGCGTCTGCTGGTGGTACCACATACATGAGCCGGATCGCGAGCCTACAACATGACTGTTTGCATTTATAGTTTTTGAAAGGTTCAAGGTTGTATGCGAAAGAGATAGAAAGTCCCGATTATTTTCAGTAAATCAGATAACATTTTTGAAATAATGTTATGCAATTTGTGTTATTCGTTGTATCACAAATATATTTGTTGTACGCGATTCATTGTACAAACGTAGATAATTTGTGGAGCAACTTTTGAGAAAAATTACGGTAATTTTGTTAAAAGAAATTGTTATTTCGTTTAGAGTTATTTTAAATTGATGTGCAATCAGTATTTTTGTTATGTAAACCATATTTTTGTTAATAAATGAACATTTTCGTTGTAAATTGAGAAATTAGCACAGGTCTAGTCTTGATGTATGTGTTTAAATTATTTTTGATACTAGTTTTGTTAGACAGTTGTTTTATTTGTAGTGACATATTTTCTTCTTACAACATTGTTAACTGTATGTCGATGGAACTTACCAGGTAATATTTCTTACACCATTTATAAGCCAGCGGCCCCCCCGAATCTCCGTAACACGCAGTCCCCCCATTTGCAAGCGCGCAGACGAAAGACGGTGTGACATACTCAGTGCCATAAATTTTTTGACAGTCTATATTTTTCATCACGTTTGATTCCTTGTAACTTTGTTTTCCAAAAGCGTGCCGATTATCTAATAAACAGAATAAAATTTCACTTTTGTTATAATAATAAATGAAAGTAACACATAATTTTTAACCGACTTCAAAAAGGAGGAGGTTCTCAATACGACTGCATGTATTTTTTTCTACGTATGTTACGCGACAACTCCATTTGTGACGCGACGACGATTCTTTTTTGTTGGAAAGAGGGTACCTCAGTAGTGGTTGGTCCCATTTGAAGAAAATATTCCTTCTCTCTATTTTCTAGATAGGTACCGTAGCTGTAGGCACGCCCACTGCCCGACGCCGAAAAACGACGTCTCTCCAATTCCCAATAACTTAAGCGGCTGGAGGGACCTGAGGATATCTAGCTTATCCTCTACTAGCTTTCCGGGCTAGTGCCGGAGACGCCAGTCGCAGTGTCTTGCGACAATGTCCGGACATAGCTTCCAACTTTATTAACAGTAGAGCTCCTTGTGAAAGAGTTCGTCCAGGGAAGTACTGCCACCTTACCTACTTCTGCCGCCAAGCAGTAACGTCAGCATTACTGTGTTCCGGTTTAGAAGGGTGCTGAAGGGGTGCTGCTGAAGTTACACGCACATGGGACTTGTCAACTTATGTCTCAGGGTGACAAGGGCAGTGGGAGTGCGCCTCAGATCTTTGCGATTTAAAGTTCTGAGAGGCACTGGAACACTTGTTATACAAAAAAACTCAAAGGGCACTCACATGGCCCGCACGTCTCCTCGCTTCAGGCCGTCAACTAGACCGTTACTAAGACGGGCTAACTGCGCACGAAACAGACGCTCCTGCCACATGCTACCGGGGCAGACAAACATGTCCGTCCCTGCAGCTCACCACAAACCCCAGCGAGTCCATATCCAAGTCCGAGTCCATCAGAGACGCCCGTAAAGGCGTATCACTGGCGGAGGCCTTGACCCGGACGTTCGCTGTACCCTGGTTTTGCCATCGAGCCCGTAGTCTCTCCGGAATACCCTATATCACGGGTCGGTAGATAGTGACTAAGGACCATAAGGGAGGCGTTGGGGGAAGCACCCGCGTCACTGATTTCGTGAGTATATAAACATTCATTATATCATTTGATTTAGTCTATTATTATATAAACTGCCTCCGTGGCCAAACGGTTACCATGCCGGACTGCCACGCAGAGGTCCCAGGTTCGATTCCCGGGCCGGGAGAAATAGTAGTATGGCCTACAATTATTTCTCTCGTGAGTTTGTAAAGAGAGAGTGTGGTGTAATTTGTGGTTGTCTATGTGTGTGTCCATGGCACCCGCGACACAGGGTTTCCCTAGTGCGGGGCTATGTTGAGTGTGTGCGTTATTTATTTATTTATTTATTGATTCACTCTTCGTTATCAATACGTTCAGCCGGCGGTGAATTAATAAAGTCAGTTCATTGCAATTATTTCGTTTATCCACATTTTACAGTAATTAGTTCGATAGTATAAAATATGGATCAAGTTACAACGAATTTGAAATGTGCGATTTTTGGAATTTTGCTTATTCTTTTGTTAACAGGGACATGTCCAACTTTAGAGTTATGAGACATAAGCTTTAGCGTGTGAGAATCATTTACGCAATAATGCGACAATAGAAATCGTGAATATGATTTTCATAAATGTAAATACAATACAATACAAAATACTTACGAACATCTCTAAAGCCGTAGCCGATGACAAAGGCTTTGCTGTGAGCAAAGGATGATTTCGACATTTCTCCTAATGGCAAATTTATTACGTTTATTTTGTCTGCAAAAAATAAACATAACATTCAAATAATTGTAACGTTTTCATTTTGATTTGGTTACCGGCTTTTTTCCATTTCCATGGGATCTCCTCATCATTCTGCCTTCTTGGTGACAATAGGATTGTTACAATGTAATGTACAAAGGAGTCCCTTTGCACATTTTATACTTTTTTCTGGTTGTCATGGTGACGGTGTTATGATTTATTCGTTAATGTATTGTGTCAAGTGAAAAGTCGACTTATGTTTGCGGAAAATACTTTTTTAATTTGTGATAGGCGAAACGAACCCGGACCAGCATCGTCGGCGTCAGGGACCTCGAGAGTATACCCTTCCAAACAAAAAAAATTCAATAGCGGTCCACTATTAATGGAGAAATCGGTATGAACACTGACATGCCTATAAAATTTGAGGATTTTCCTCGATTTCCATGGAAACCCTCATCAGATTTTGACTTGGTGACAATGGAACCACCACGAGAGTGCACTCTTTCATACGAAAAAAAATAATTTCAAAAGCGGTCCACAATTGACGGAGAAATCTGAAAACATACATACATTACAATTAAATAATAATTATAATATCGAGTTCTTAGGTTTTCGCGATTGTTACACATAGGAAATGAAACTATTATTCCGGATTTAAATCGCGTATTTTAGCTCTACTAACTTCGGCTTGACCTTTCGGAGATAACTATCATCCCATTCATGCGCAAGTTACCTACTCGCTACGTCTGTGAGAGAAGAGCAGTGCGCGGGGATCGCGGGGAGCGACCCAAGTGTCCATGCGTAATTACTAGTGTATTAACATCTTTTGATCCAGTAATTAAGTGCGAATCGGTGTTCGCCGAGACGGAGATTGAAGTTGCAAAAGCCCTTCTTTTTGAATCTGTGCCAACGGCTTCTCAAAGAAAAGTTGCGCGCCGAAAAGATGGACAAACAAAAAGAAACATTGAAGACATAATTTCTTTCTTCAAGGAAGTGGACCCAGATTGCATTCCAATATTTGTGGCCCGCGATTTGCAAAAACTGCAACCAATATCAATTGATCATATTGACGCAGTTACTGATGAAGGATATCATCAAAATGCGTGACGACATTAATAGCATTAAAGACAACTATGCGACGATTTTACAGTTGCAAGAGTTACAGGCGGACTTGGAAAACCTAAAATTGTCGTCGATAGTTAATTATCATCATAACATCAACAAAAAACCAAGGAATCAATTTTTATCCGACAGTGGCCCGATAGGTTTGACGCCTATAAAAATAAACGACGATTTTGAAGGTGGCACAACAAAACCAGCTGATACCAATGGAATGCGCGAGCGCTGCGAATATCCGCGTAAACCATGTCCATCGCGCTCAAACACAGCATCTCTGGAATCGCTCGCACCTGTCCATTGTAGTGCAAGGGAACAAGCGACGGCTACGACGTCACTGCATGTTGGTGGTGCACTGCGTCCCATTCATGCGATGAAGCGAATTGATCGCGGCATGGAGAAGCAACGTACTGCGAATAATGTATCGCAATGAGTGTAGTATGGCGGAAATGGTACGGAAGGAGACTCAATGGAAATCTAATAATCCTACTTCAGAGTGGATATTAGTTCAACGAAAGAAATTAAGTAATCGGTTTATTGAATACACGGGCAAAGCTGTGACTAACCCTGATACGATGTTTAAGGCTGCGGAGATCAAAATACCTTTGTTTATTTCCAATGTAAACAAAGATACGTCAGAAATGGATATTTGTGAATATGTGCAAAGTAAAACCAAAGAGAAAGTCACTATGGAGAAAATAAAAATGAAAACACATCGTCCCTACAACGCTTTTAAAATATATGTATCGAAGCACAAATTAGATCTTTATCTAGATGACAACTTATGGCCAGATGCTATAAAATTTCGTCGCTTTATGCACTTTAGGAAACGTATGTCAATAGTGGAGAAGAATCAGTCCCCAGGTTCTAATAATTTGAATACTTCACATGGATCAGACGTTATATAATATATTGATCAGTTTTAATTGTCAAAATGTGAAACATAACATTGACTGCGTGAGATCGTTGTGTGACTTTGCGGATATTGTGGCATTGCAGGAAACCTGGTTGACGCCACATGAAATACCATTTCTTGGTACTATTCATCAGAATTTCGAATATACTGGAAAGTCGTCAATGGATCTGTTAACGAGTATGATGAGAGGGCGACCTTACAGTGGTGTAGCACTTTTAGCGGAATAGTGCATTTCGTAACGTGTCAGTGTTAAAATCTTCTAGTGACAGAATCGTGCGCAATGAAAGCTGAGTGTAGTGATTCTCGCGAGATCCTAATTTTGTGTGTGTACATGCCAACAAACAAGCTCGATAACTTACCCTTGTTAACACAATTGTTACGTGAACTGAATGCAATTGCGTAGGTAGGAAAGTAATGTTGGTAGTATGATTATTTTAGGCGATTTTAATGCTGACCCATACAAGGACTTTGGTGTGGAAATGCTGAATTTTTGTGCGGACAGACAGTGGGTATGTGCTGACATAACAAGAATGGGATTATCTTCTGCTACTCTCACATATGTTAGTGAAAGCAATGGTGCGAGGAGTTGGCTGGATCATAGTAAAGTCGGTTTGGCCTATTATCATAGATACTCAAGTTTTGTATGACATTTATCCATCTGACCACTATCCTTTATTGATTGAGTGTAATTTAAATTTAATTAAAGCCAAACTTAAATTGGATGATTCTAAGGGGAACAATATTTTGTGGGGGGTAAGAAATTGTGATGAAATAGAGAAATATAACAAAATCTGTAATGGACACTTAAAAGATATTAATTTTCCTCGTGAATTGTATAACTGTGCAGATAGAATGTGTGATGACGTTAGGCATAGTGATGTAATAAATAAATTGTATAATGATATTGTACAGGTTATAAAAGATGCTTCGGCAAACCGTTTTAAAGGAAAAGTAAATAGAAAGCAAAATAATGTGCATAAAGTTGTGATGGGTTGGAGGGCTTATGCTTAGGCTTATGCCTGTGGCAGAGGCGCACAAACAAGCTAAATTAGACTTTGAAAAGTATGTATCTTATGGTAAACCAAACAGTGGACCAATGTATAATAAAATGTGTCTCAGCCGTTAGACTTTTAAATCTAGGCTCAAGTTCTGTCAAAACAATCAGGAGCAAATTAGACAAGACATGATTGCGTCACAACATGCTTCAAAACAGTTTGACAAGTTCTGGAAAAGTACTAAGAAATTTACTTTAAAGCCAAGTATGCCAGTCAGTGTTGATGGTTGCAGTGCCCCGTCAAGTATTGCCAATGTTTTTAAGGACCATTTTAAGGTCGAATCTCCACTAGATTCCTGTGGGGGGCCCAGTGCTGAGACTTGTCATGTCAAGCAACCTATATATATATCTAGTAAGGATGTTTTGCAATTAAAAATATGAAATGAGGTAAGTCTCCAGGGCATGACGGGTCTCAACATTGAGCACTTGCAACATGCAGGTCCACACATATATATACTTTTGTCTATGTTGTTCACTTGCTGTCTGAGACACACATACTTATCTCCGGACCTAATGAAAACTGTTGACATACCTCTGGTTAAAAACCGTACAGATGATATTGCAGATAAAGGCAACTACAGACCTATTTCCTTAGCAACTGTGATAGCAAAAGTTTAAAACTAGATTTGAACTTAGATAAGATAATTGATAATCACCTTAGCAGCCGTATAGACTTTGAAGACGCTCAGTTTGGTTTTCGGGATGGTATGTCAACAAAGTGCTATACTGGCGTTAAAATACACTGTAGGCTATAACTTAAAGAGGAAGACACCTATATATGCTTGCTTCTTAGATTTATCAAGAGCATTTGATTTGGTCTCATATAACATACTCTGGTCTAAATGAATAAACATTGGTGTCCCTCTTGAGGTTGTAGGCTTGCTGTCTCATTGGTATAACGGTCAAAAAAATGTTGTTAAATGGGCGAATTCCTTTTCTAGCGAATACACGCTTAAATGTGGTGTGAGGCAGGGTGGGCTGAGTTGTCCTAGACTTTTCAACATATTATGTGAGTCAGCGGATCGGTGAGCTCAGGAGCACAAATGTTGGCTGTCGAATAGACAATATTAGAATTAATAATATCAGTTATGCCGATGACATGGTGCTGCTGAACCCATCGATCAGTGGTCAGAGAAGGATGCTGAATGTGTGTGAAACTTATGCCGTGAAGCATGGATTAAGGTACAATGAGAAGAAGAGTGAGTTTCTTGGTTTTAAGTATAAAGTCCTAAATAATATTCCACCGCTTCTTCGAAATGGCGTACCCTTGACTCGTATCTCTCAGTTTAAGCACCTAGGACACACTATTAGTGAAAATCTTGGAGATGATGATGATGTTCAGAGGGAGCGCAGAGCGTTGTCGGTACGCGATAACATGTTGGCACAGAGGTTTCCAAGGTGCTCTGTAAATGTAAAAGTAACTCTTTTCAGAGCTTACTGCTAGAATTTTTATACAGATGCACTGTGGACCAACTTCACACAGCGAGCGTACAACGCCTTACGTGTAATGTACAATAACATCTTTAGGGTTCTGTTGAGGATTCCTCGCTTTTGCAGCGTCTCTGGCATGTTTGCGGATGCGTGTGGTGATAACTTTTACGCAATCATGCGCAAAAAAGGCGTCACAGATGTTGCGATTGCGTGGGAGCACCAATGGTATCCTAAAGATGATATCAGGAAGAATGGACTCTGCAGTTTTGCGTAGGTTCACCGAGTTGCACGTGAACTTATAATAATGTATTAATAATAATAATGTAATTTAATTTATTATATTGTAATTGCTCTTCTTGTTTCTACTAACATAGCTTGTAAGATTGTTACTAACAAATATGGACTAATTGGTATCTCGGAACTTCGATTTTTTTCCCCCGGGAACGGAAGGTTGCACATGTAGTTCCAATTTTAAAGACCTATTAGCATTCTATCTAGTGTAGCTAAAATTTTTGAGAGTGTTATTTATGAGTACGTGTACTCACACATTAAGCCATTCATATTTGACAAGCAACATGACTTCATCAGATTTAAATCCACAATTAGTAACTTACCGGAATATAAGCACTATCTCTGTTCTGTTTTCACTCGTGGGGGTCAAGTTCAATATATACAGATTTCAAAAAAGCCTTTGATAAAGTAAATCACAACCTTCTTTGTATGAAATTAACATCATTTGGTATTCATGGTAACCTTTTGCGTTGGGTACGATCTTATCTTGACAATAGAAGTCAAGTTGTATGTATTAAAGGGTTCTTATCTCCACCTGTTATTATCTCTTCTGGCGTACCCCAAGGTTCCCATTTGGGGCCTTTATTTTTTATAATATTTATTAATGACATGATTGTAAAACTTCGTTGCCCCTGTCTATTGTGCGCAAATGATCTAAAAAATTTAACACTATCTCTAACAGTGATAATATCATTCTTCAAAATGACATTGAAACTCTCGCTCAATGGTCCCAAACAAACCTTATGTACCTGAACGTTGATAAGTGCTTAGTTATATAATTTACCAGAAAAAGTAATAAAGTAATTCATAAATACTCTCTATATAGACATGTCCTGCAACGCCGGGAAGTAGTTAGAGACCTCGGTATATTGTTTGAAGAAAAATTGACTTTCAGAAATCACTTCGATCATATGGTTGGTAGGGCCTACCAGACGTTGAGCTTTGTGAACCGTGCTACTAAAGCTTTCAAGAAACCGTATAGCTTCATCCATCTCTATAGCTCATTGGTAAGAAGCGTTCTGGAGTATGGTATAGTGGTTTGGTCACCTTACTACCATGTACATTCCAACAAGATCGTAGATGTACAGAGAAGGGCTCTCAGATCTCTCTTTTATTGATTGGGTCATTGTCGTCGTCAGATGCCTACCTACGAAACCAGACTATCTAAACGCAACCTAGTATCACTCAGTGTCCGTCGAACATGTATGATTTAATATATCTTCACAAAATCTTACTCTCTTACCTTGATTCCGCTAAATTATTGGCTAGTTTTAATATTAACATTATGTACAACCCTCGGCGTCTGAAGGCTTTTGTCCTAAATGTTTTTAAAAACAACACACCTTTTTACAATCCCATAACAAGAATGTATCGCCACATATAATGACCTTCTTAAGGACAATAAACAATTAGATATATTTAATTCTAAGTTTCACGTATTTAAAAAGTCCGTCTCTGATGTAGTGCTTGCAGTTACACTATAAAAATTAAAATAATAATTTAATAGTAACTTCATTTTAACACTTTTTATTTTCTTTCTTTTTTGTATTTTCTTTTATATATTTGTACCAAATTAAATTTTGCAATTAATAATTAATTGACAGTAACTCTCCTAAACATGTTGTATGTACACGCTCCTGGTTGGCATTCTGGTTCAAATCTAGTTTTAAACAAATTAATGTCTTAATCTATTTTGGATGTCGACTGTTGTGTTCGTCTAATAAATTAAAATTGAAATTAAACCACGATTAAAAATATTTATCTGCCTTTTTGGATAAATATCGAGTAAAAATGGATAAACATGGATATTTATCCATATTTATCTTTCTACTGAGTATTTATCCCAATGATATTTATCCATTACCCTTCTCTAGATACGCTAATACAAATAGCCATTTGAAATGCCATCATAAAATATTTGAAATAAAAAACACTGTTTAGGTACAAGTATCGCATTTACATTAATTCGATGGTTATGGATCGATATGTTCGGCATTAGTGTTAATTAAAGATAGAAATTTGATACTCACTAGATAAGGTGATCTTCCTCTCAGTCTTTATTATTGCTATGTCATTTCGCGGCGGGTCTATTTGAAATTTAGGATGGACCTATAAAAAAAGGACACTATATTGTAAAGATTATCAAGTGACCAATCGAATAAGTCGCGCCTAGTGGTAAACGAGATATCTACCCATAAAGGTGGTTTTCCACCGGCGACTCGAGACAAAACGAGACGAGAATTGAAATCTCGCTGGCCAATTTCCATCAAAAATTGCAATTAACAACTTGCGCGAGCTCGTGCCAGCCATTACGGTCTCGCGCAAGCGTTCGCGGACTCGCGCTGTGATTGTGAATAGTGAAGATTCAGAGCTGTTCAGTTCATCTAGCGATAAATATTAATTATTATTATACATTTCATAATATCAAAGTTGTATGAAAATATTATAATTTAAGTTTATTTTGTTGATATACTGTTATTTACATATATAAGTATTTCATATGTCTATGTAGTTGTATGTATACTTCCTATTATGTCGGTTTTCTTATCTGTTTATTTATTTATTGTTGTTAGTGGCTCACCGAGATGAAGATTTTTTTTGAGTGTTCGATCTTTGTATTAACAATTATAACAAACTAGTGGAGAAATTTCACAAAAAATAATTGAATATCAATTCAATAAAAATTTAATTAATACAGTGAATAGCGCCATCTCTCGCCAGGACTGGTAGCTGTAAAGGTACTAACTGGGTGATAAATCTGTCAAAGATTTCTCATAGATGGCGCTACGACTAAAAAGTCGTTGAAAAACCAAATACAAAGACACGACGCAAGCACATAGAAAAATTCGTGAGGTCCGTTGGTTCGTTCCGTGGCTTAGTTGGTATAGCGTCTGGCACGGTATGCAAGAAGACGTCGGTTCGAATCCGACCGGATCGATGGATTTTTTTCTGAGTGTTCGATCTTTGTATTAATAATTAATTCAAAATATAATTATTCGTGAGCTATCCTAGCTATTTAGGTAACCTGTCTAAATCCTAACTCTTTATTTCAGCTACCCTAGCTTGGCTGAATGTTCCTAACAAATTCTTAAACATCACTACTAAAACTTCCTAAATGCATCACTAAACTATCTTCAACGTGCACGCTGCTACGACGACGACACAGGCTTGAACACCCATCGGGCGATCACTGGGTAACATCAATATTGATCTCCCAGCTGCCTTAGTCCTCATCCTGCAGCTATCCACGTTCCATCAGTTTTATGGACTACCGTCTTGGATAGATATTACTTGCTTTTTATTTTTTTTGATTTGATGGGTATATTGTCCAGTGTGTGTGCATAGTTCGTGGTCACCCTCCCAGATGAACAAGAACTGTGCATGTATATGTGTATACGTTCAGTGGCGACACTGAGCGGGGTGTCTTGGTCTAGAAACCGGGAGTCTCAGCGCAGGTGTCTGCGCCTGGCCCGTCTTCCACGGACCAGGGGAAACGCGGCTGCCCCGTCTGCGACTCTGGGTGCATCGCCCCAGAAGAGTCGCGGACGGGAGGCTGGGCACACTCGGACAGCACCCGCTGTCCCGGGTGTAGTGCAAACAGCGCAGCCGTCAACAAGTGCCAGTACTGGGGCGGCTCGATCAAAAATTGCCACAGTAATGGCACTAAATGACGGTCTGGGGGGTACACGACCCGGTTTTCGGCACCGAAGCCACGTAGCCGCAGTTCTTACGTAGAGGAGTTCAAGGGCGTGGGGCTGCCAACCCGCGAGCCTCACGAGAACGGCCTCGTCCTCCTCGTAGCAGTCGGGGGCAGCAACGCGGCCGGGGTTTCAATCTAGATGCTAGATGGCGTCCACGGGGGATAGGGTGAGGGTTCTCCAAGCAAACCTCCACCATGAAATTCTGGATATTACTTTTTCTATGACTAGGCTAGCCGGACTTATAACCGGCTGGCATGTTAGTGACGAGACGTCGGTGTCGGATGATAAACACATAAAATTTGATCTGGGAGCAGGAAATGTCTGCCACCCCACTACATTTAGGAATCCAAGGGACACGGCCTGGGACGTCTATAGAGACAGACTAGAGCAGTATCTACAAGGGTGTCTTAAATCGATCAAAACCACTCGGAGTCTAGAGTTAGCTGTTGAGGTCACTTCCAGGGGCATCATCAGCGCTTTTGAGGAAAGCTGCCCGCCAAAAATTTGGACCTCCAATAGGAAGGCTCCGTGGTGGTATGCAAAACTGAGAAAGCTAAGAGAAAAACTCGAAGGCTCTTCAATAGGGCCAAACTAACAAAGGAATGGGAGACCTACAGGAAGGCCTTAACTAGCTATAACATGGAGATAAGGAAGGCCAAGCGAGCATCGTGGCGGCGGTTCTGTGAGGAGATCGCTAGTGCTCCTCAAGGTCTACATAGACTGTTCGCTAAAGCCAATTCCCATCAACAAGGACTGTTAAAGAAGCCTGATGGGACCTTCTCGACTTCTACTATAGAAACCATTGAGCTTTTAATGTCAACCCACTTCCCGGGGGCCTTGTGCGACTCGCCCACTAATCCGTAACGACGCTACATTCGCAACGACGTCTGGAACAGAGCCGCCAACATAATAAGACCCCGACAAGTGGCTTAGGCCATAAGCTCCTTTAAATCGTATAAATCCCCTGGTGAGGACAGTATTACTCCCATCTTACTGCAGCAAGGCATAAGTGTACTCTTGCCATACTTGGTCAAGATATACAGAGCCAGTCTTGCTTGGGGACACATACCGAGGCAATGGACAACGCGTAAAGTTGTATTTATACCGAAGGTAGGCGCTACTCTCTTGCTAAGTCCTTTAGACCCATCTGCCTAACCTAATTTTTGCTTAAGGCAATGGAGAAGGTACTTGACAATCACATTAGGGCTTCGTCCTTAATATATAGTGCTATCCATCACACTCAACATCAGAGTGGAAAGTCCACAGAGACAGCTTTGCTCCAACTTGTGGACAGGGTTGAAAGAGCGTTTGAGGACAAACAAATAGCACTGTGTGCCTTTCTAGACATTGAGAGTGTATTTGACAATACACCCATCCATATTCTGGTGAGGGGCCTAACCTGCAAAGGTGTGGACACTTTAAC